GATGCATGCCTCTTCACTTTGACTTGTGGGTCCACCCGCCGTGACTTCTCGCTGCAGGAGGAGGCATGGCGCTTCACCTGGGCTCCTGCCGGCCGCCCCGGCTCCTCCTCGGCCTGCGGCAGGGACGGGAGGGAGAGTGTGCTGAAACACCCACGGGGCCATCGCAGCCCGGCCAGGGCTCCCCGGGGCATCTTCCGTAGCCTGGCCACAGTGATGGGAGATGGTGAACCCCTGAGCCACACTCACCTGAACCTTCTCATAGGGGACGTCATCGTACACCACGCGGGAAGAGTCTGGCCGGTGGTCCTGGGAGGAGCTGGCCCACCTGCAGGAGGAGGGATGGGGTCTTCCTTTCCAGGACATCCCTGCCAGCCTCCCAGTAAGCCCTTCCATCTCAGAGGGCTTCCTGCATTGCTCTCCCAGCTTCACTCATGAGCACTCTACCCTGCCCTACTCTACCCTACCATGGGTATCCCTTAAGTCCTTCATCAGCGTTGATGAAACACCTTCCACTTTCCATCCTGCCTGAGGGAAACTGCCCTGCTCCAGGAACCGTCAACCCCTGGGACACCAGCCCTCCCTGAGATCACAGTACAAACCATGTCCCAGCCCGTGCCTTTTCTAGGGAGCACACAGGGTTGAAGATCACGATGCTCAGCCCAACACTCTGCCCCCCGCACGGCCCCTGTCCAGCCCATGGCACAGCAGGAGGGCAGCCTTACAGGTAGGAGTGCCTCACAGCTGTCACTATGTTGGCAATCGTCTCCACGTCCACATAGTCATAGTGCAAGGCCTCCGGTGCTGTCTGCGAGCCTGTTTCCACCAAGAGGAGACCCAGCCAGCGGCCCAGGTCTTCAGAGCAGCTTGCCTGTGGGAGAGAGAAAGGGTTGGGGTGCATGTCCAACTCCCGGCCCCTTGCCCTCGCTCCTGCCTCCTGATGCAAAGCCCCACTGTGGAGAAGGGCCCTCTGACATGAAGCGTGTGTGCAAGAGTTAGGAGGCTCCAAGAGAAAGCACACAGGCACATGCAGGAGGTCCCAGTCCCAAACCCTCAGCCACCCCCTGCAACCTGCCTGCTTCAGCTCTGCCAGCCTCCTCCCTGCCTCCAGCCTGCAAATAACTGCGCAGCTGCCCCCGGCTCACCCAAAGGATGTCCTGGGCTTCCTTAACGTGCAGGGGAGGGGAAAACAAGGCACTGCTTGCATCCAAGCATTGATCATCACAGGAGATTCTCCCCCAGCCTGGCAACCCCCTCCTCACGGGACCAGCACACCCTGCCTGCCCTACTGCCTGCTCACCTCCAGTGCCACCACCTCCTGCCCATTGCGAAGGATGCGGAAGGCGAAGGGGTGTTTGGGGCCCAACCCCGGGACCACCTCACAGCCCCGGAGGACGATGGCGTTCACATGGGTCCGCAGGTCGGTGCGGTCCTTGTGGAAGTAGAGGGTGTTGCCCTTCAGGCGACACCAGCGCTCCTTCCAGCACTGGTTAACCAGGACGCTGAGGTAGCCTGGGGGACAGCAGGGCCAAGGGAAGGGTCTCAGTGCCTGCTCAGCCAGACCTCAGGCAGGCTTTAACGAGACACGGCTCCCTATTCGTTTGGTTCTTCTGTGCCTCACTTTCCCCAGAGAGAGCCAGCTGGGACACCCTGGGTCCAGGAAAGTGGGCAGGTCAGTGCCACACAGTCACCTGAGCCTGTTTGCTGGGACACAGGTGACCCTTTGCCCCTTCCCCACGTACCACTGGAATTTGCAGAGCCAGGACCAGGCACCATTTTGCATCCCAAGGGAGTGTCACAGCTCTCCATCATCTTGGTGACCTTGCCCCCATCCCGCTGCCCCTTACCCCCACCTGTCCCCCCTATGGCCAGGCTGAAGGGAAGGATGCCAGCTCCCCACCACTCCTGGCCCCTCGCAAGCGGCCGGCACGAACCGCAGCAGGGGATATCCTCCTCGGTGGAGGAGGTCTGCGTGTCCTCGGGGGAAGGCTTCTTCTTGGAGAAGCTGATGATCCTGGTGATTTTCTTCCCTGCTGCCCGGCTCATTGAGCCCTTCAAGTCAGCCAAGCCACTCTTTTTGCCTTTCCCTGGAAGGAGAACAGGGTAGCTGTGTGCCCCCGATGCATGTCATGGCATCACCCCTTGCTGGCAGAGGGTGCTCCCCAGCTGTGGTGCACACAGCTGGCCCTGCCGGCCAGAGGACAGCCCGCCTGGCTGGGGCAGGGGCCGTACCGTGCTCGCCGGGCTCTCTGCGGATCGCTGGGGAGCCAGTTTCACCCGTTGCCACGCTGTCTGAGTCAGAGGTGTGCTTCTCCTGCGACAGCCGCTGCGGGGGGAGTGGAGCAGGCACCCTGTCAGCAGTGTCCCCCTGCACAGCCCCCAGCGATGGCCACTATCAGCCCTTCGTCCCTCCTGCCTGGGGCTCGGACATCCCCCAGCGCTGGGGGAGCCCTATAAGCCCTGCAGACCTACAGGGATGGGAAGGACGCCCCATGCCACGCAGCACGGGGAGCTCAGTGCTCTCCCATTCCCCAGGCTTGGCCGCAGCAGCCCCATGCAGCACCTTGGCAGGGCAGTTACAAACCATCACCTTATCCAGGTCCATCTTGCACGGCATCACTGGGGAGGTGGGAGCTTCCATCCCACCCGCTGCTGGACTGCTTGCTTCCTTTATCACCTGCGGAGACAGCCCCCAGCAGCTGCTCAAAATGGACCCGAGGGGCAGGGCTACATTCCCTGGCTGAGCGCGCTCCCGTCTCGACACCAGAGCTGGGCTGAACCACGGGGAGAGAGGTCCTGTCTCTGCAGGACAGGACAGCAAGCCCTGCTCTGGGCACAAGCCCAGCTTGCCTGGGGGATTGCACACACCGTGGCCCCTTCAAAACTGCAACCAGTTTTGCAGATTTTGTCAGAGATTTTGGAGGTCTCAGTGGTGAGGGGCTTTGGTGCCAAGATGCACAGTCATCTTGCCAGCACAGGACAATTCCTGACCCCCTGTTTTACAGGGAGGCACAGCATGGATCGCCCAGGCCATGTAAACTGACCCTGTTCTCCCACGTTTGGGGTGACAGCCGGGTTTGCGGCGTGCACAGAAGCTCCTTTCCCACCCGTGGCCCCTTCCCCATGGCCCCTGCCTCCTGCCCCTGAACAAAGGCAGGAAAAGGCCACGGGAAAGAGGAGGGGGAGAGCAAACATCCCCACCCCGCAGGGGCTATCAGCGCCGGAGACGCCCAGGCCCTGGGAAGTGGCTGGCCAGCCCACCCCCAGGCGATAAGAGACAGGAGCAAAGCCCCCTGCCACTCCCAGCGGGGCAAGACCTTTTCCAGGGCAGCCTCCTCCCCACCTCAGCCAGGTAGGATGCCAAGGAGAGTCTGTGCCCCCCTGGGCAAAGCAGGGGGTAGCCATGGTACCTTCAGCCACTCCTCAGCCTGCTCCTTGCTCTGCACGGCCAGGACCAGCGCCTCGGCCCCCGGCAGCGAGAACCGCAGCTCGTGCTTCTTGCGCCGCCCGTCCTTGGGGACGTAGATGACGTTGCAGGTGCCCAGGGGCACCTCCACGTGTGGCTGCCGGTCCTTGGAGCTTTTGTAGCACTAGGAGAAGCAAAGGAAACCACTCAGGGCTTGGCCAAAACCTGCCTGTCCCACTGCCGTGCCAGGCAGAGCTGGCATCCCTCTCAGGGTCCCTCACAGCTGGCACAGATGGAGGTGGCTAAGTCTCTGCAACAGCCTCGGTGGTGGAGGGCTGCAGGGTGCCCTTTCGCTCTGTGGGGTCCCAAAAGAGGGGAGCCCTCCGTTCGCTTGCAAGGGAAGCAATGGCAGCCCATGCATATGCTCTGCAGGGCAGTCGCAGCCTTGGGGCAGGGTCATGGCTTGGATAGTGCTATTTTTCTTCAGCCTGGACCCAACCTCCCTCCCAACTGACCAGTGGGTTTCTGTCCCCCACCAGCTCTGGGCTCACCAGCAGTTTGCTGTCCCGTATGATGGTAAGCTGCTTGGCCCACTGCCCGAAGCGCTTCTTGCGCAACAGGAAAGCACAAATCCTGCAATCCTTCACCAGGTTCATGGAGGCTTCCTCCGACGGCCACTGGTGTGTCAGCTGCTGGCCCTTCCCCTCCTCCTCCTCCTCGTCATATGACTCGTAAGAGCTGCTCATCGCATCCGAGTCATTGTCTGGAAGGAAGCAGGCGAGTCACCCCAAATGGCACCCCAGGGCCCTGCCTACTGGGCACGCTCAAGTGCTGCCAGGGGTCCCGGTGCCTGGTGGGCTCCAGCACAGAGCCTGGGCTGGGCGCTGCGGTGGATGGACTCCACATCAGCCTCTGAAAACAGCAGAGTTATGATCCCAGCCATCTCCATTTCCCTTCCAAACCAGGCAGGATGCTCACGGGTGAAATGCCAGTCCCAGGTGTGTCTATCCAAACCCCTGGGCTGGCTTATTTCTTTAAAAGCCTCAAACTTTGAAAGCTTGGATTAAACCTTCTATCTGCAACAGAGGATCACGTGCCGGCCCTCTGCCCCACACCTCCTGTGCGGGACACAGAGGAGCAGGGCTCTGCAGTTGTGTCCCTGCCCCGGCTCTCCTCTGCCAGGGCAGAAGCAGCTGATGCAGGGCACAAGAGCTGCGTAGGCAGGGACACCCCTTCCCCATGCTGGTGACAGACACGGCACCCATTACATCCCTTCCGCAGCATGAGGGCTCTGGCTTGCATGACAAACAGCACTCCACACTCCTTGCTTTTTGCCTAGCAGCCTCTGACACGTGAGAGGTCCTCCAGCCTCAACCCCCCCAGCCCCCAGCCCAGCCCTCATGCCCCCATCTCGGGGCTGGACTTTGCCAAAGCTCTCCCCTTCCCGGTGAGGGCAACCAGATACCTACAGGAGTTTTTTTGCTCCCCATTCATCCTGGTGACGGGGTAGTTGCTGTCTGCATCTTCGTAATAGCCATCCTCGATGGAGTTGGGGGGGCTGGAGCTGTCTGCAGAGGAAGCAGAGGGCAGCTGGGGCTGTTACACCTGGTTCCCCCCAAGGATGCTCTGAGCAGCAAGTCTGTGAGCTGGGGCAGAGCAAAGCACACCTCCCAGGGCATCTCCGCATCGGTGCCCCCATGGCTCCAGCCTCTCCCCATCACCCCCTTCCCAGTCGAGCCACAGCAAACAACTCCTTGCAGTAACAGCGCAGCGGGGTGGGAAGGAAGCGGGACAGGAGCGATGCCGGTGAGAACAGCAACGTTTCCTTCCCTGGGACGAGCCATCATGCCTGCCGAGGGCTGCCTGCTTTGCCAGGCAGGCGGGGGCATGCAGCGGGCAGCTTGCGAGGCTCCCTCCACCCTCCTGCCCACCGCAGAGCAGGACTCACTGCGGGAGGTGATGTACTCGGGGGCCTTGCCGGGGCCCAGGGGCAGGGCTTCCTCATAGTAATCCTCAGGCGGGGGAGTGGTGGGCAGCGGCGGAGCAGGGTCCACAGGAACCTACGGCAGAAACACCACCGCCATTAGCCAGGCAGCAGAGAGGATGATGAGTCCCAGCAGCTACCACGGTGGCAAGGGACAGGAACGGGTCCCAGCCCCGGGCAGGTGCAGAGCAGACGTCGCAGGTGGGCATTCGGGGACTTACGGCTTTTGCCGTCTGGCTCCTTGCCAGCTCCAAGCCAACGCTGTCGCCAGTGTCCCCTTCCTCCTCCTGCATGTCCTGGAGATCCCGCAGGTCACAGTCTGCCCAGGGGTAAGCGGAGAGGGTGAAGGGAGCAGGAAAGCCCAGAGCTGGCCTCCCCAGCCATGCCCTCCAGGGGCCCCCAAGGCAAGCACCCATGGCCCTTCGCTGGGAAGGTGCTGGGAGATGGGCACTGCTTGGTAAATGCCGCTGGGCCAGGGTGTGTGTGGACTTCCCGTGGCCAGCCCCAAGCAGCTTGAGGGGAGCGGGAGCAAGCACCTGGGGTGACAGTGCCCACTGCAAAAGGATGCAGCTTTTACCCTCCTTCCCTGGGGCACCCCAAGAGCTCCCACTGTCAGCAGGGACCCCAGGAATTCACCAATGGGACCCCCGGGTGTCACTCCGGGTTGGCCACACATACCGAACTCCTCGAAGAGAGACTCCACAAAACTGGTGCCGTTGCTCAGGGACGCTGTGTTGACGTACATGTAGTCCACGTCCTTCCCTGGGAGCGAGGGGATCTTCTCAGCCTGGGGGTGGACAGGGTGGCCGGGGCAAGCACCGGCACCCCTTCTCCCCGCAAACACAAACCCAAGGACACGGGCCAGCCCACCCCACCGTGTCTTGGGGCACTCCTCCAGAGCAGACGCCTGGGGAACAGAGGAGCCCCCGAGGGATGCTGCTGCCCCCCCCAGGAGGGCAGGAAAGGAGGAGCGCTGTGAAGCCCCAGGTGCACAGCCGTTCTGGCCTTCCCACGGAAACCCCTGTGCTCAGCAGAAACCGGTGGCAGGAAGACCTCTGCAAAGCAGCCTTTCCGCAGGGAGCAGCCCGCCCACAGCCACGGCAGGGCTGACGCCAGCCCCCGTGCCCGGGGCAGGGAGAAGCTGGGAAACGAGGTGGGGAGCAAAGCACCCCGAGGGGGCTGAGCAGGCGCTGGGGACACCCACTGCCCCTGGAGACAGCCATCGGGCATGAGTGGGACGCAGACCTGCGGGTGGCTGCAGCTTCTGCAGGATGGTGGAGACAGCCAGCTTCTTCTCCTGCGTGGTGGCACTCAGGTACTCATGGTCCAGCAGTTTGAGCAAGACGCTGAGCTCTGGCAGGAGCTGGTCCAGCACTGGGGGGAGCAGGAAAAAGCCCGTCAGCCAGGGAGGTGTTGGGGTTAAGACAAGGCAGAAGGGGCTAGAATGTGTGGAAGACCCCAGGATAGGGGTCTTTCCCAGCTGGCCCAGCACAGGTCAGGCAGCGTTTGCTAAGTGCACACGTGCTCCTTCCGTGCACAGGCTCTTCCACGTGCACGCAGACGCTGGGATGCAGCCTGCTGAGCCCATGAACGGAAACACCAGCTCTGCAGGGCTACTGGATCGCTATCAAAGGGCTCTCGGCACGCATATTTTCCATGCAGATAAAACTACACCTCTGTCTGCCCAACAGTCCATCTCTGCTGGGGGTGCCCCCTCGCTGTGATGGGCACGGGGTAATGGAGGGAAGGAAGGAAGGAAGGAAGGAACGGAAACCTGGATGCCATCTCCAGAGCCACCTGGCAATGCTGCCCAGGGAAATGTCCCCCCGCGCCTCGCCTGCTGGGGGACATTCATATTCCCCTGCTGCACTCAGACCGTGCGTGACCTCCCAGCTCAGTGCCACCTCCACAGGGTCCCCATATGCAGGCTAGAGCCTTCCTCCCCACACTCACCCACAGCAGCTCCTCTGCCCTGCTGCCACTCCTCCCCTGTATCATTCCAGCTCACCCACACCGCTCCAAGGCCACCCCACTCTTCCCTCCAGGCACGGAGTCACTGCCCCAAGGGCCAGTCCCTGCCCCACACCGGTGGTCTGAGAGGTGCCCAGGGAGGGGACAGGGACTGCAGCACAGGAGGGGCTCTCCCCACCCGGCTCTGTGTTAGCTGAGCCTCGGTCCAACACACGCGGCCCCAGAGGCGGTCAAGAGGGTTAGAGCAGCTGAAGTCCTGGCAAAGAGAAACCGCACCAGAAGTCACCGCTCATCCGCTTCCCCGTTGCTCTGCAAGATCCCGGCACCTGCCACTGCACCCGAACACAGCATCAGCCTGGCAGACAGAGCCAGGCAGGAGAGATGGGGAGAGCCCAGCAAAGAGCAGGAAAAGAGAATTCGCTGCAAATCACCATTACAGGCACAACACATGAAAATGTCGGTCTTCTCTTTGATGTGGTGATTCATGGGCTAGTTTTTATGAAGCAAAAGCGCACTGCAGCTGCGGGGTTACCCATGCAGCAAAGCTCCAAAAACACTTGGGTGTTTGCATATCAGAGCAGGACTACAAAATAAAATCATCACTGAGAGCAGTACTTATGGTCCTGGCAGTAGCTGACTGACAACTTTGGGAAAAAGCGTCGGCCAGAGATGGGAAGGATGGACTCCAAATCTCTCATAAATTCCCACACACCCAATTCTGCACGTGCACCGACATCTTCATCCCAGGTCTCTTCCTATGTCTTATCTCCTCTGAGCAGGCTAAGACAAAACTGAGCTGGATCCAAAGCCAAGCTCCTGTTTTACACCCAGGACCATGTACCTGTCCAGCTCCACTGGCATCCAGGGCAGCTCCTGCGCCTGCAGGAGATGGCCCGCATTGGAGAGGCCAAGCTCAGGGACAGCAGCAAACCTGCAACTCCGGAAGCTACAGACGGTGGGAGAAAAAAGCTGCTGTTTCTTCCAGCGCAAGCATGAGCAGGATCCCTTCTCTTGGCAGCAACCAAACGTGATCACAGCACAGCTGGGGCAGCGTGCAGCTGGCTTTGGGTCCCCAGGGACAGGAGGAGAGGCCAGAGGTGACTGCAGAGGCAGCTCGGATGTGCTGACTGATGGAGATGGTTTGCAAGGAGGGAAGAACATGTGCCCTGGCAAGAGGGAGCACTGGGGACACTGCTGTACCCATCCCCACCACTGACCCTCCAAGCTCTGCCAGGGGAAGGGCCCCAGCAAAGCAGAGCTGGGCAGCAGCGAGGGCTGGCACGGGGCGTATTTCCCAGGGGAAGGGCAGGATGCTGTGCTACTGCTGGGATTCTTATTACTCATGTTCTTTAACGAGCTTCTGCTGGGCCCTATCCAAACACTGCATCCACTCTGCCCAACACCCATCAAAAATTGGGTTGCTACAGGTTTGACCCAGTATTTTGGGTGCCCACCTTCCACCCCCATGAGCCGTGGCCCGGAGCACAGAGTGAGTCCCCCGGGACCAGGCAGGCACTGCTGCCTTAAGCAGGGAAAGCACGGTAAAACCAACTGCTCTTTCAAAGCTTTTTGGCTGAAGGGGAACCCAACACGGGTAGGTTGATACAGATCAGCGCCCGGCCAAGACGAGCCCTTAGGCAAGGAGACAACGTGCCCTGCCCCAAATCGCTGCCTCCCCAGGACACAAAGCAGGATGCAGCTCACAAGCCTCTTCCTGCAATCCCAGCTTCTATCTCCGCAGACCTTCTGCTTCCTCCTCCCTCCCCAGTGCCAAGCTAAACAGCAGCCTCAGCCCTTTCACCAAGGGTGGCTTTGCCAGCACCCACCTCCTGTGGGCAGGCCAAACCAGGACAGGTAGCCCCCAGGCAGGGGGAGAAGCCTCAGCACAGCCCCAGAAGGAACAAGCAAGCCTGGGGAGCTGGCAGCA